TTGCAGTATGGAAAAAATGGATAGATTTTATACAACACAAGTTCGATATAAAAATATTACTTAGTTTTTTAATAATTTATATTTAAAATGGAATATTTTGTTTGTTTTTTTCTTTTTTTGTTCTTCTTTTTTCCTTTTCTTTTTTATTTTTTTCCTTTCTAAACATTTATTTTTTGTATTCATGTTTTTCTTTATATATATACTATTGTTAATTATTTTATAATTCTTCTAATTAATGTATTTAGATTTCTAACTAATGTTAGATTCATTTATGGTTTATATCTTTTTTTAAGATTTCTTGATGAAATTTTAATTAAGCCTATACTCAGCTCTGGGAAGGTCGGGGAGGGAATGGGAGGGTTGGGGAGGTTGGGGGGAAGATTGTTTTGTTTTTGTAAGATTTCAAAAATTTAATAAAAATTATCTTTGAAAAAAAAATAAAGGAATTCCGCCTGACAGGTATTCTGCCAGCAAGGTAAAAGTTTTGTAATGTGTGGTATGAGCCAAAAAGTTATAAAGAGGTGTTGGCATTACCAAAAGCTGAACAAGAAAGATGGAAGGAGGCCATGGATAAAGAGATGAAATCCATGGGAGACCATGAAGTATTTAAATCAGTGACTTTGCCACAGGGAACCAAAGCTGTGGGTTGTAAGTGGGTATATAAGAAAAAGATATTGCCAAATAATGATATACAGTATAAGGCCAGGTTAGTGGCACAAGGTTTTTCATGATTAAAGAATGTATTAAGTTAATAGGTCTGATGTCTCTTCCTGTCAGGAAGGGAGGAGTGTTGGAATATTCATGAACAGGAAGAATCATGTGGTAACTCAGTCAGCCAATATGATGAAAGTGCTACTGAGTCTGTGCAAAAAGAGTATTGAGTTAGGAGCTGGATTTCCAGTCTCAAAGTTTTGTCTCTGGTCTGTCTCTGTAAGAAGTCTTCATTAAGCTATGTTGATGTAAAGAAGAATGATATTGTAAAATATTTTTATATAAATATAAAGTTATTTGAATCAGCTAAATGCAGTCAACTGTGAGAGCTTCTGATTTATTTTTCACCAACAGAGAATTTAAAATTCTCTAACAAATATATTAAATTTTATGTTGAATTTCCTCTTTAGTTTTATTTTTATACATTCCTATCCTAGGCTTTTGGCAACTTTTATTTTTTGTTTAATTTGGAAACTTAAAAAAAAGTAAGATAGAGAAGTCTACCATGCATGGGAAAGCCAAAACTGCTGAAATTCTACACCTGTAGTGAGTGCTCATAAAGGTATTATGAAACAAGGGGTCTACCTTGCCCCCTCTCTTTCCTGTTAGTTTTTTTGTAATTGCAGGTGAATAGCAAAAGCAGGAGACTCTTCACTGTATTTCTGATTGGGCGACCAAGATGGGCTGATGCAAACTTTTTGGGGGGGATATTAATGATTACCTCTGAATCTCATCTTTCTTCTACAAAATCAAGGCTGATGACCTTAAAATTCTAAAATATATTACATTTGCATTTTATACTATTTGTTTCTACTAGACTAAAGGCAATACAGTATTTTAAACAAGCAAATATTCCTATAAAAGAGGTCAAACTGGAACAAAGTTTTATTTTTTTCAAGCCCACACAGTCCTTTGAATCAGTTTCACACATTTAAACTTACATTTCTTTAGTTACTATATCATAATAAAGAGGGGAAGGGTGCAGTGAAAGAGGATCATTGTTGCTGTGGGTATTTGCTGTTACAATGAGATGTTTGCCCACTGAAATGTAAAAAGAAATAGCACACATATGGTGCATTTTAATTCTGTTATGAATCATGCCTGATGTCTTCTCCTATGAATCATCTACAAAATGAATCATAATATAGGCATATTTTTGTAATTAATACAGCCGTCTCCAATAAACTCCAATAGACTCTTTCAGACTCTTCAACATTTGTGCCAAATCATTTCTGGAAAGTTTTCTTCTCAGCTTAGAACAAGGAATTGTATATTGGAACACAAACAAGAGAGTTTGGTTATAAAAGATAAGGTAGACTTCAGTGAAATTCCATACATTGTACCATGTTTAGATTTTTGGCTGTTGTGGGGTTAGCATCAAATCTCATTGTGTTTTACAATGCCAAATTTAAAAAGTGACTCATTCTAGCTCCCAAATGACTAAACCTTGAAAAGAGTACGGAGGATTATTTTTTCGGCATATGAGTAAGGTAACTTTTCCAAGTGCTGCATCACATATATGAAAATACTCATATTCATTTCTAAAATCAAATGCTAAAGTTTTCTACACTTTCCACTGAATTTTAAAAAATTGGATTTTTTTCAAAGAACCTAGTTTGAAATATCTTATTAATATTGTGGTAATATTATAGTTCCAATAGTATCTGTAATGAGGGAGGGGGAAAGGAAATTATATTCTCCTAAACTGATTTCTTTTTAATGGTTTACAGAAGACAAGGTTGAGAGAGGACCTAACAGTTGTCTTCAAATACCTGAAAGACTCTCACATAATACAGGGTTTGAACTTATTTTTACTTTTTCTAGAGCTTAAGACTGGAACTAACTGGATGACATTTCAAACATGTAGATACAGGTTCAATATTAAAAACTTCAGGAGAGTAAGAGCTGTGGAATAAGTTACTCACATGCAATGTATCATGATATTCACTGAGGTTTTCAAATAGAAGCTGGATAATCATTAACTATCATATTGGGGATAGTGCAGTGAATATTGCAGTGTGCAGGGGTTGGACTTGATGACCTTTGGGGTATCTTCCAACTCTGTCATTCTACGATGTCATGAAATATCAGTTAGCAAGCTGATTTTCCAACAGAAAGAGAATATGTTCCTCCTTTGGGCTAAAAAATATCCAACCTCGACAAGGAACTCCTACTAGGATTTCTCTGTGCTACTGCTTTCCGTTTTTTTGCTACATGCCAGAATGCTTTTCCGGCGCTATTTGAACTGAGTTCTCTAAAGATCTTTCTGGGACCCGAAACTGCAGAGTCAGTCACTCAGACACACGCAAGCGGCACGAAGGGAATTTCCCTTCCACCCCTACCCCCCGCCGGGTGCGGAACGGTGGAAAGGTGCCATTCGGCTGGCTTAGGTTCATCTTCCCGGCAGTTGGCTGTTTGCTCCCGCTGGCAGTTTGTGTCCTCTTGTGCTGAGCGTATGCCTACCTGCCAGGCTTGGATTCAAGGTTGGAAACACATACACACATACCGCCCCCCAAGAAAGGAATTCGCGGAGAAAGAGAGCGGCGGTCTTTGGAAGACACGGACATTGAGCCATTTGGAAAGCTTGTAAACGCCAAGTCAGAAATTCTCAAATAAAGGACAGTAGGTTAACAAAAATGCTTCTCTGCTACCTGTTCTCTTCCCCTCCCAAGAGGTCTTTGAAAGCAGGTATGGGCTGATTTTAATCTTAGGCAGTAGCCGGCAATATACCATAAACTTCAATTAGTTAAAAAGAAGGGATACAGGAATTCTCTGTTCCGAAGGAAGAGGCTTTAAGTTACCTCAGCAACCATGCTGTAGAAGGAAGTGGTCATCCCTCCAGCGAAGGTTTCCCTTATGTGCTCCTGTTCCAAAGCTGTATCCCCTTCAATTTTACTGTGCCAGAAGATTTGTTCTATCACCACTTCCAAATCATTCAAAATCAGAGAGGCTATTGACCTTGATGATGAGAAATTTGTAACATGGGATACATGGAAGGCAACAGATTTGGGATCTACATTTCCGGCATTCCCTTCAGCGGCACAGTAAAGAAAGATTCAGCACAACTCAGCTCATCTTCTAGGAAGATGCTTCTTATCAAAGTCAGTGTTTCTCAATCTTAGCTACTTTAACATATATGGACGTCAATTCCCAGGATTCCCATGCTGGCTGGGAAATTCTGGGAATTAAAGTTCACACATTGTAAGAGTCGCCAAGGATGAGAAACACTTTTAAGAGCTGCAATACATAAGCCAGTGAACTACATTTATGAGAGCCCTGATTGTGATATCTGCTTGCTATATAAACCTATATGCTATTGGATTTATTTTTTCCTTACAATGGAATATGAGATTGAGGAAACCACAAATGCTTCCCAAACTTACTAATAGGAGAAAGACATTTCTTAAATCAGGGTGAATTAATTTGCTTTCCTGACACAGAGCATGAAGTTGTGCTCTTCCCAAACTGTGATTCACAATATCCTAAACTGTAAAGTTACCCAGGCATCTGATGCCACAAATACTGTTTCTCTTCAACAGTGTTAAAATTGTAACAACAAAAATGCATAATGTTAATAGTGACTAGTTTTACGTATTGTTTGCTGAACCAACATTTATTGCATGATCAACTGTTCACACATCAAATGTTCAAAACCAAACAAATCACATTATGGTTTATGCAAATGTAAATGTACTGCTCTCATTTTGAAATACATAGTAAATAATAATGTTAATATAGTATTTTAATGAAAGGAATCAATTCATTTACAGATACAACTGAGAAAAAAACAGTCTCACCCCTGCTTTTATGACTGGATCAGTACTCAGAAAATCTTTGTAAAGTCTTAAGCTTATAGCAAAGTAGGCCCAGTGGACTTACACTGCTCCCTTAATATTATGGTTTTGTTCTTTAGTCCATTCTTTTGGGTAAATTAAGGCAATGGATACACTCATACACATACATTTGAAATGTTGATGCTGATCAAACTGCGAATATAGGAAGATAGTTTTAATCTCTATTTTAAGGAGAATAAAATTGTTTCAAACCTTTTCTGGCTTTAACCTTTTTGTAAAAAGCCTGATATCTGCACAGCAGTCACATAATACTAACTTTGATATAAAATCCGAAAGAAAATTGGATCATGGAATGCCCAGACTCCTCTCAGCTGAAATCAGACAATATAAGTTTTGTAAACCACATTCAATTTCCCAATTACTGCTAAGATAAACTTGAATTTGATATCTGATTTGCAATAGCTTATTTTAATATCCCTCTCTTTCTTTCCTCAGGTGCTGCTGATGAGCAAGATGTCAATTCTGCTGAGAATCTGGATGACACTGAAGACAATGAAGAATTCCTAGAGAAACTCATATCCATTACCTCCAAGAGTTTACCAAAATTGGAGGTAGAGGAGAGATACAACATAACCAGAGAGCTAGGCAGTGGCTCCTATGGACATGTTCTACAGGTTCAGCATCGTGAGAGAGGTGAGAGTATATAAATGTGATGACCATTTGATTGGGTTTAAATAGCCAAGGAGACTCAATCTGTGTCTGCCAACCTATGGAGCATCTCAGGGTCCCCATTTCCATTATTTCTCAGATTCTTTCAATAAAAAATAAATCTGTGGAAAACTGGTATTCTGTTTTTGGTATGAAATCTATGGAAAACTGGCATTCTATTTTTGTGGCAATATTTGAAGGGCTGCCACAAAGAAGAGGAGCTCAACCTATTTTCCAAAACACCTGAACGTGAGACAAGAAACAACAGATGGAAACCAGTCAAAGAGAGATTCAACTTAGAACTTAGCAGAAATTTCCTCACAGTGAGGACAATTAATCAATGGAACAGCTTGCCTTCAGAAGTTGTGGGTGCTCCAGTAATGGAGGCTTTTAAGAAGAGACTGGACAGCCAATTGTCTGAAATGATATAGAGCAGTGGTTCGCAACCTTTCTAATGCCGTGACCCCATAATACAGTTCCCCATGTTGTGGTGGCCCCCAAGTGGGTGTGGCCACCAATAAGAGGGAGTAGGACAGCTAGGGAAAAGGGGAAAAAATGGCAGACAGCGTGGTTTGGCGACCCCCGTGAAATGGTCATTCGACCCCAAATGGGGTCCCGACCCACAGGTTGAGAACCACTAGTATAGAGTCTCCTGCTTGAGCACGGGGTTGGACTAGAAGAACTGCCGATATTCTATGTTCTACAGAACAAAGGGCCAGCCTGATGTGCTAAAGAGCATTTGGGGAACTGATAGGGAATAGAGGAATGTCCTTATTAGTTTATCTAACATTTTAAAGCCTATCATGTAACAAAAAATGGCCACCAGGGATTGCCTATTTATCAAATAACTTCCATTGTGTGTCCAGCAAAGGTGCCGATATTAGCTCTGAAGCAATTTTGCCCACACCAATGTAAATAATGCATATTTCTAGAGTAGCCTATAGTTCATTTTAATCATGGACTATTGAGCAAGACACAGTGACAGCATTAATCCATAAATCTTGATTTATAAATTCCAATGACTGGATTTACACATCACACTAAGCCAAAACTGAACAAATCTTTCTTTAGGTTAACATCATGTATGAAGCCAGACCATGATAAAACATGCTATTGTTTGTCTGAGTTTATTCTATTTTTCCAATAGGTATAGGTTTCTGAAAATCATCTTGGAAAGTCTTATTCACAGATTCTCTATTTAAGAATTCACTTAATTATGAGGAATTTAAAAGTTCCTCAGGTTGGGATTAAATTTTTATTTCATCAAGTCTTGACTTGGGTTGAGTTTAGCCTGGACTGCTTGTTGCTCTCATCCAGTTCACACTGCCTGCAATTAATTAACTGTGTCATCCCAGGCATGTGGATAGCTGCCAACAAGCAGGTGCTTCTTTTGGCAAAGCAAAATCCAGCAGATAGAGCAGCAAATTGGCTAGCTTCCCAAATGGAAGGCATACAGAAGGAAATAATCCTTAAGAAAAATGAAAATGAATGGCAGATTGTCCAACATCTACACAAGTAAAATTCTGAGCACAGAATATGAATGTTTGCTTTTTTCCTTATAATATAGATTTCCCTTACTGTTTAATTAACTAGTTTGTCAGTGCCACCTAGTGGGATGCAGTAACACTTCCAAGTTTGGAAGAGGTTTACTTCGATCTTCTCCCAAGATATTTTTCCCCTCGTTCCCTGTTTGGCTTCCAACCCTGGGACTCTTATGAAGATCCCCCACTGAAGTTCTGACTGAGATTATTTAGTTTCAGAACCCAGACAGCATCAATCAGATACTGCAGTTTGCTAAGGCACATTGATACACATAAAATAACAAATGTATCAACATTAACCTCCATACTCCATATCTTTTGACTCCAAAACCCCTTTCTTTAAATCAAGAAGACTAGCTTTAAGGATGTCATAAACAGCTAACTAGCAAACAAGCTGCAATTAAGCCAAAAGCATGTTTACCCATTTCTCTCTCTCCTTTAAAATGGACTCTGGATGCCAGGGGAGGGAAGGAATGCTTTGTTTGGAAGCTTATTTTGCAGAATCAAAACAGCACTGAATTAGTCAGTTTTCAGTCTAAATATTTCTAGCAGCTCTAAAAGATGCCCATGTTTTGCAAGGAAAGAGGACATCTGAAATAGCTGCATTTCATCAGCCTGTTTATATCTCTTAGCACATCTGCAGGAAAGACAAGGTCTAGCCAGGTCTAGTTTCTTTTTTCCTGTGCAAGACTTTGTTCAAATTGTTATGGGTTTACTTTCAGCCTCATACCTTTTGAAAAAAAGAGGAACTATTATATGCAGGGCTATTTTTGTCATAGAATGCCCAGAACGGAGTTCCAGCACCTTTTTTAGATGGAGTCTTGTAGGGTAGGCAAGGCGGGTTGTATAACGTGTGCGAGTTCTGGCACCTTTTTTTTTTTTTAATAAAAAAAGCACTGATTATATGATTAAGAAAATTAAGATTACCAGATGTAAAGACAAGGCTTTTAAATTTCATTTGCAGGTCAAAGTGCATTGCAAAGATCACTAATGTGTCTGTCTGGTTTTATGGGATGCATCTCTAAAACAAAATAATATTGTAAGCAGAGCAAGATTTCAGAACAGATTCTCCTGTAGCATTTAACACACTGCAAAACACAATATAATTCTGACATGTTGCATCTGATTATTGTTATACTAAAACACATTAGCAGTCAGCCAGTAATATATATTACTGGTGAAACAATTGTTAACTACAATATAGTGCCTCAGCATCCCTTAATTTGTTGCCATATATCCTTGCTTGCAGGAACCTCAATGGCTTTGAAACTGATGTCCAAGGAACACACAGGGAGGCGCGAATTCCTGTGGGAATATTGTATTGCTCTCTGCCTCTCCTCACACCCTACACTTCTTCGAACCACTGGCAGTGCTTTTGAATCATCTACTCATTATGGATTTGCACAGGAGTTGGCACCAGCTGGAGATCTTTGCAGCATCCTGAACTCAGGGGTATAAAAGTCTAAAGACTTTAAGGGCACTGCAATTGGCAAGATCTCAACAAACATGGGATATGATAGGGTGATATATTTGAGTGGGTTCAAGAGGAGAATTAAGGGAGGGATAATTATCAGATAAAAGGAGAGTTTGCAGTAAGATTTTTAACTGTGCTGCAAGTCCAGCTTATAATTGGAATGGTAGAAGAACAGAGTTTGATAGTGCATCAAATACTATTTCATTTATTAGGGTTTTTTTTGTATCCAGCTGGGCTGAGTGCCCTTTTATTCTTTAAAATCACATATATTTGCCTTTTTCTTTTGATATTTTAAACTGTTCCCAAGTTGACTAAATGATTGTTTGGGTAACACAATTATATAAATATACATAACTTTTTTAGAGAGTACTAGCCTGTAACAATATTAGCTAATTTATATTATTTATGCATGGCTTCTGTGGCAATCTCAAAAAAGCATCTCTTCATAACTTTTCAAGACAAGGACTCTTTGATTAACTGCAGGGAGAATGTTTTCAAATTGGCCCCCTGAGATTCTTGAAATTTTGTGGAACTTTTCTCTAATTCCACTTCTTTTTTCTTCAACAGGAGGGGCTTCCTGAGGTGCAAGTGAAACGGTGTGCAGCCCAATTGGCTGATGCCTTGGATTTCATGCATGGCAAGGCCCTGGTGCACCGGGACATAAAACTAGACAATGTGTTGCTTTTTGACCAAGAATGCCAGCAGGTGAAATTAAGTGACTTTGGCCTGACACGACTGGAAGGCACCTGCATATCTGCTATGTCTGCTGTCTTGCCATATTCCCCACCAGAACTGTGCCTGCTAGAGAGGACAGAGTCTCTAGCTCTGGACTCAAGCCTTGATATTTGGGCCTTTGGAGTGCTGCTCTTCTGTATTTGTACTGGTTGCGTCCCTTGGGATATGGCAATGAGCCCTGATCCTAAGTTCGAAGAATTTTGCATCTGGCAAAATCGCACAATCCCAGGTGAGGCTCCAGGCCTGTGGAAAGTTTTCACAGCTCCTGCTTTGCGTATGTTCCGTCGCATCATGGCTCTTGATCCTAACCGTCGTAGCCCTGCTATTGAAGTGAACAAATACTTGCATTTGCCTTGGCGAGTGGGTATTTCTGAAAAGACCCAGGATGATTTGTTGAAGACAATTAGTTCTGAGGCCTGCCTTAAGGGACCTAGTGAGGACAATACTGAACTGGGCAGAAACCCCAAGGAGAATTGCCTCCAGCAAATGCAACCTGAAGTCATTCCCCCAGAGAAAACTCATACCATACAGATGTGTCCCAATCATGGAAGCAATCCCAGTCCACATGAAGGTTCAAGGCTAAATGGACCTGGACTTGAGCCCTGAAGAAAGTGTCACCTCTGAAAATGATGGTTCCTTTCATCAGGACAAGAAAGACTCCAGCTATCCTACCTTCTTCCTATTAAGGAAGAGTAGAACTAGTCACTCCATAGGAAGATTTTCAGAATAGAATTGCTCAGCTGTATATTATTAATGTAGCATCATGATATCTAGAAACAGTTCTAGAGAATGTTTTTTTTGGAAATAGCCATAATTTTTTTCCTTATTTTTTAATGGTGCATTCAGATAATGCAACAAAAATAAATCATTACAATTCAATATTTCTAATTTTATCCTCCCATGGATTTTTTATATCAGATTTGAAGGAAGATCTAGTGGTCTATTTAGTTCTGACTTCTCAGGATGCTATTATTTTAATATCTTCCACTTTGCAGGTCCTATGCATTTTTCTTGAATTATGGATTTTAATTATTGCATATAAAATTGTACAAGATTGCATTAATTATGCAATTCTATGCAATTTACTTGTATTAATTCATAGATGGGAATTAATGATCAATGGCCTGTAAAAAATTTTAATAGCTTCCTGAACTTTCTGAAATTGGAAACTTTTGATTAAGAGTTTCCTTGAATTATATTTACTTTTTTCTTTTCTTTTTTTAAGAAGAATTAGGCTCTTTAAAAAAAAATCTGATAATTCAAAGGAACATATCCACAATTCAAGTTTCTGTCACAGAAACAGAAACTATAAATGCAGCAGTTCAAGGAAGGTAATAGTATAATAATAGTTTTTCATCACAAATGAAATGTTAGTGAAACTAACAGCCTACAGTAAGAGTAAACCTGTAAGAACAAACTTTTAATTGAGGTTTTAAATAAATTTTGCTCAATTAGATTTATTAGTAAATATAAGTGGATCTTTCCCAGAGGGAAAATATAATTTTAGATAATATAGTGACACTTTATTTGCATGGAATTTTTTACATTACCTCTGCATGAAACTCAATATCACAGTAAAGTAATACTTTTGCAGTGCCAATGTGTTCTAATATGAAAGCAACCAAAGTCTCATGTTTTACATCTGCAGCAACAGTCTAATCATTGAACCAAAAAAGAGTAGATAATCTTTGGAAGTGTGATATTCTGAAGTAATGAGTTACATAAGATATAGTATGTATGTTTATTTGATTGCATCATTGAATTTCTATAATAAATTATTTATGACAAAAGCTGGCTCCATGGAAGAGCTAAATGTCATAAAGTTCTGAATTAACTGAGAAATTCTTACAAAGGGAACATAATCCCTATCCTAGATGGCAGACTTTTTGAGTGAGATGGTGACAGTTGTGGAAACAGTTATTCAATTACCTTACTAGAATCTCTTTCCTTTTGATGTAATTAAAAAAAAAAAAAGATTGGACCTGCAGACAACTAATGAAAAAAGAAATAGTTTTCCCCCTACTCTGTTGTATAAATCCAAAAGATTATACATTAAACTTAAGTTTTGCTTAAGGCAGAAATATACTACCAGTAAATTTCTCTGTGTCACACAGAAATATAACACAATATCATAGCGACGCCTCCTTTCATATGCAGGGTTTCATACAGTTATAGCTGCTTAGAGATCTTTTTGAAATAAATGAGATCTCAGTTAGCAAAAAGATTAATTTTGCCTCCCCTTATATTAGAACTCTATTTGTATCTGTTTGAATTTCCTTAGTCAGTCTGATGTAGAATTTTTTGTATAGACTTTCCTGACTGGCACTTTGGTTCCTATCCCATTCTCAGTTATTTTTCATATTTATTATTTTGCAATTCCTAACAAAAAATTATTTGAATGATTTTAGCTTGCTGTACTATTGGTGAAATACAGTCAGAAATTTGCAATAAAACATATAAGATGCAATCCAACAATCAAAAATTAAAAGTAATATTAAAAAGTACATTCTCAAAATATATGTGTCTATGTGAATGTGTGTCTGTTGGACGCTAAGAAAAAGATGCAGGCATGTCTTGAGCAGAGGTTTGAAGCTGCAGGACAAACTCTGAGTTTATTGCTTCTTATATACTTATTACATACACCAGCTTCACCATTAGATGCTGACAAAGGTTTCTTCACTGGAAAATGTCTTCATGTAAGCAACTATTTTCTAGTAACACATTACATGGTCAAAGATCAGGTAAAGAGCAAACAGGAGAAGGAACTAAGAAAGGCAGGAAAAGATAGAAGAAGGAACTTAAGCATATTATCTGTTTAGGTAGGTGAGGCATTAAGTCAAAAGGGTATGACGTTCTGGCTGCTTCATTAGGACAAAAGGTTATGAGGTTTGTGGGGGAGAAAGCACGGCAGTTTGCTGCGCATGCATTTTCCCCCACATCTTACTCTTCTCTGTTTTATTAGTGAGGACATTATCCTAAGCTGGAGTAGTTAGTGGGTCTTAGTCAGGGGACATATAACTTTGCATTTGTTTATACAAAACATAACTTGTTCCTAAGGTAAATTAATGGTAGTTTAGTATGGAAAATTGAAAGTAGAGAAAAAAAGACATTGAATAACCATATATGTGCATAATTAAAGGATACCTCTTGAAAGGAGGTACAATTTAAAATTCCTTGACTGACATGTATACAATGAAGTTTTTAAGGTGAAGTAGTACAATTGACAATTTTTGCACAAGTAAGATTTGTAGGCACAGCTACAATTGGTGTATGCAAAACAATAGTATCAAGGGGTAACATATAAGAGGCATGACTCCAGCTTGACATAGTTGCATAATGAAATTCATTGTCTGATAGAAAATTGCTTAAACCAGTATAATATTTTTTTTTTAAAAAAACTGAAGCTGGAACACACAAAGGTATAAGACAGGTAGAGAGTAGATTTTCCATATCATATGATTCAGAAATACAAAAGTCTGTCACTTGTGTTACATTAGCTAATTGCACCCAAATAATATATTTCATCCATGATTCTAAAGGATGAGGTGGGAGAGCTTGAGCCCCCACACAACAATTAAGAAGGAAAGAGAGGCAAAGAATGACTAAGGAATTTGCAGTCAAAACCACAAATATGGCAGCGCATAAATTCTCTGGTGTAGGTTCTTTTCCCTGTTGCCCCAAAACCATCTATGCTTTGGATGTTAGGTTTTTCACATCGCCCCAGGTCGTTGGCCGACTGTGATGGCAAGAGCGAAAGGGACGTTGTATTGTCTGAAGAGTCACCTGCTTCATTTCCAGTATTGGGTTCTGGACTTGATGCCATGACATCTTTGGCTGGTCGCACACACTGGGCCTGAATCCAGAGAGGGCCTGTAGGAGCAAGCATAGCAGCATAGCCTCCCCCCAAAGTTAGTAAGGGAATTGGACCTAACCAGGTTTTATCACGCAATTGCCGATAACATACCAATGGATTAGGGAGCACAGCTTTCTGCTGAACATGACGGTGGTAGGCAGTAGTGTTTTGAAAAGAAATATTTAGCTGATTTAAAGTTATTAGGACTTTATTGACTTAATGAGTTATCCATGCCAAATTAAGTACCCTTGATCCCTCCTTTTTTATTTGTTTGTGAAGGCAGTCCTTAAAGGACCGATGCGTATGTGAGAAACAAAGGATAGCTGCTGTAAAGTTAAAAACAAAGCCATAAAATTGGGGTTGATCCTGGGCGTGATGTAAGCACCTGGAAAATTAAAAATAAGTTGGCACACATAATGAGAGTCAGAGATTAAGTTAAAAGTCTGTTGAGAAAAGGTGTGGAAAGCTAAAATAGCAGCAGATAATTCTGAGTGTTGTGATGAGGATTGCACTACAGTGTAGGTAGATGATATGAAATACAGCCTATATAGTCAGGACTGAGGAGATAAGTTTTTCTGAAAATAAAATTGAAAATCAAATTTTAGGATAGGAAGGACAATATTAATTAAATCAGTCCCATTTCAAGGACAAGCTCGATTGTGTCCTAAGGTTATTTCAGCAACAGCCTGGATAAAAGATAAAACATTTTGGGATGGGATAAGTAAAGCCACTTAATACAATATACTTTTTGCACTTCTAACACAGTTAATACTCCTGTAAGTAGCTTACTAGTAAGAAATATCAAAAAGTGTTAAATGACAATTTTTATATGGAATTCTGTCCACAAATTGAGTACTCAAGATGTCATTAATTTGCTCAACTGTGGTAAATGCTGCAAGTGGAACTACAATGAGATCTCCAGGTTGTTTTCCTTTGGTCAATAAGTTAAATTCCAAGTTAATCAAAGATGGAAACAAATTTCTATTAAGTAGGTTAAACATTTACAAAATTTAAGTTAAACAATTCAGAGTCATTTCTTTTGGTTGATGGATATATAGGTCTAACTAAACAATTTAAACTCAACAACCCCCCCCCCCCAAATTTGTCCATCAATTACTGTCTCTTCTTTCGAGTAAATAATCTGAAACTGCAAGAGTGGGCATTAAATTTCATCTCCATTCGAAAACCGGAATTCTAAGCAAAGAGGAAAAAAAGTTTAAAACGAACAGCCCCCCCTTCTTTCTGTCTCTCTTGCTCTTAAAGCAACACAGCCAATTGAAAAACAAAAGAGACAGGAAAATTTTTTGTTACAAACTTCTCACCACTAAAAAATAGTTTTCTCTCCTTCACATGCATTTTCCATAAATTCTCTCACACATTCTCCATGGGACTCTATAAAATCTGCAGTTTTCTATTTCTTTCACAGCCTGAGAGAGAGTGGGTGGGGGTGGGGTTTGAGGGCTAACACACACACTTAGGTATCAACAAATTAATTCATTCATTTTCATTCTAACTGCTTGTATAAACAATTCCACATACAAATATTTCATTTCATACTTTCTCCAGGCAAACCATATATTATTTATTTATGAGACTTATATACCGCTTTAAATGCAAGCACTCTCTAAGCGGTGTACACCAGTAAGCAATGTATATATATATATATTTACATTGCCCCCAATCTGGGTCCTTATTTTACCTACCCCGGAAGGATGAAAGGCTGAGTCAACCTTGAGCTGGTGAGATTTGAACCGCTGACCTGCTGAACACAGTCAGCTAAAGTGGCCTGCAGTACTGCACTCTAACTGCTGCGCCACCTCAGCTCTATAATAAGGCCTTTTTGTATTGTTGTTATCAGAGAGGGTTTGACCCTCTTCCAAGTCTTGGAAATAACACAGAACAGCACAGACAAACATATATACATAAATACTGTTAAAACAACATTTATTTAAACATGTGACTTGTCCTGCAAGAAGCGAGAAAAATCATGAGGTTATTCCAACCAAAAGTGGTTTTTTTATAGGGCCCTTAATCATCTCCTATTTTTCTCACCATTCCAAGCCCAAGCATAATGTTCTGGGTGGACACACACACACACACACACACACACACACACACACTACACATCAACACACTACACATCAACACAAAGCACCACCAGACATTGTCTGACAGGGTTAAGCTTAACAGCCACATGAAGTTTCAAAACATTCAAATTGTTCAAAACACATTGCAGAGGAGTACATTTTGAGTTAATTTGTTTCTTTAAATTCCTCTGACGATTCCCCATATATTATTATTATTATTATTATTTTTCTACTTTAAGATTGTTCCTCTAATATTTTCCTTATGGGGGTGTATGATGGCCATAAGGAAGCAAAAGAATTAGCCTCTTCAGAAGGAGCTGAAAATCCAATTAAAGATGCTTTTGGAGGCACAGGCTTTACTTGATCCTAATCAGGTGTGGGTCTTGTAGTTAATTGTTGCCCTGCTGAAGCATCTGAGACAAATTTTTCCACTGCTTGATGGCATTGATGCCATTGATGTAATACCTGTACTGGAGCCCGAGATTCAAGATGTAAAGTATGCCCTATCTTTTCCCAATCTCGTAACCTAAGCGTCCAGCACTTAGGATATCAAGGAGAATGTTTCCCTACCTCATTCACCAGCTTCCTTATGTCTGCCTCAGGTGCTTTCATGCCTGATTTGTGTAACAGGAATCTGAATTCCTGTACATGTTTCTGCTGGTGCTGAGATAGATTGCAACCCTTATTTACCACTGAGTGGTCCCATAGGACGAAAGTGCACTTAGGGGTCTATTCCGGACGCTGGTAAGTAAGTTGGCTGTTGCTCCCTCAGAAGGGGGGCTGTCCCAGTTGCTCTGGGGGGGCTGTCCCTGTTCAGGGGCCAGATGTTAGACACTAAGAAAAAGAATGCATGTCTTGAACAGAGGTTTGAAGCTGCAGGACACAGCTTGACAAACTCTGAGTTTATTGCTTCTTATATACTTATTACATACACCAGTTTTACCATTAGATGCTGACAAAAGTTTCTTCATTGGAAAATGTCTTCATGTAAGCAACTATTTTCTAGTAACACATTACATGGTCAAAGATCAGGTAAAGAGCAGACAGAAGAAGGAACTAACAAAGGCAGGAAAAGATAGGAGAAGGAACTTAAGCATATTATCTGTTTAGGTAGGTGGGGCATTAAGTCAAAAGAGTATGACCTTCTGGCTGCTTCATTAGGACAAAGGGTATCAAAAGGTTATGAGGTTTGTGGGGGGGAAAGCATGGCAGTTTGCTGCGCATGCATTTTTTCCCACATGTGTCTTTTGGAGATGCTCAAATCTCATGGCCAAAAAAATTTCAAAGTTATGGTACTGCAAAAGGAAAATAACATCTGTGAGTTTCCATAACCCTTACCTCCCAAATGGCAAATTATTAACAGGTTTCCCCAGGAACATTGCAATGAATGAGATGAAATCAGATACAGGCAGTCCTGAATGAAATCCTAAATAAAAATGTTGCTAGGTCTTCTAACCTTCTAAGAGGAATACATCTGCTTACTTTCACCCAGAGAACTGTTCCATGCCCCAGGCTACCTCATTCCATTTCTTCTGCTATTTTTATTTTCAATTGACTGTTCCATGCCCCAGGCTACC